CGCCCCTCACTCAACATACTTTTACTGAGCAGATAACGTGAATATTGTTGTGCTGGGCGTTGGGTAAACAGTCTCTTCTTGGTCCTTTTTTTCTTTAGCTGTGGCCTTAAAGCACAGTCCCGACTGCCTTGAAGGAGACATTAGAATTCCTCCAGTCCAGTCCCCCTACAATATCAAACAACTTAAGCTTTGCATACATGGCTTGAGATCACATTGTTATTTGTTATTTTTGAAGGGTGTGTGAAGTCAGGGTAAGGGAGAGGCTTCCTAACATTGACATGAAATCTGACCCTGTGGTATCTTTTCTTCAAAGAATGGTTTGTAGGACTACAAAGACAGCTGTGCAGGTATTTGAAGGCTGCTGGAGTGGTCCTTCTAATGTTGATTGGTCCAGGCCAAACATTTCCTGTTTTATCAATCATTTGTCTTAAGACATGGTTTTTCTAGTTCTTTAACACTTTTTTTTTTTTTAATTTTTTTTTTTCAACGTTTATTTATTTTTGGGACAGAGAGAGACAGAGCATGAACGGGGGAGGGGCAGAGAGAGAGGGAGACACAGAATCGGAAACAGGCTCCAGGCTCTGAGCCATCAGCCCAGAGCCTGACGCGGGGCTCGAACTCCCGGACTGCGAGATCGTGACCTGGCTGAAGTCGGACGCTTAACCGACTGCGCCACCCAGGCGCCCCTAGTTCTTTAACACTCTTAGTCACCTCCTGGAGAGGCATCTGCTTGGAACATGATGTACACATTTCAAGGTTGTGCAGAGGTTTGTTTCTTTTTCATAACTGTATCATTCCTAGATCTAAGCACTGTCTGTGCCTACTGCCAAAGTTCGGGATGGCTTGTTAACTTTGATGAAATTCTCCCCAAGGAAACACACTTCCAGAAATTGAGTCTAGGGGTGCTTGAGTGGCCCGACTCTTGATCTCAGCTCAGGTCATGATCTCACGGTTAATGTGTTCGAACCCCGCATCGGGCTCTGCACTGATAGTGTGGAGCCCTGCTTGGAATTCTCTCTCCCTCTCTCTCTGCACCTACCCCACTTGTATGTGCACAGGTGCTCTTTCTCTTAAAATAAATAAACCTAAAAAAATTTTTTTTAATAAAATAAAAATTGAGTCTACATTTGTAAAGTGATTTATTCATGCCACTAATATTTGAAAATGGAGACAAAGTACCTAAAATGCCCAAACACTGAATTTTCTCACCTTCAAGGTACCCATCTTGCTGTGAATGGTTTTGATCATCTTCCTTAATATATTATCTTAATTATAACACCCTAGAGGTCAAGTTTGTCCCCAGCCCTTTGGCCTAGGGGGGTAGTAAAGTTCAAGGAAGAGAAGTAGAATTTGTCCTTTCTGATTGTGAGCTGTTAAAACCCCTAGGGGAACTAAACGCTCCATTCTTTCATCCTATTTAGATTCTGTTTCTCAGTCCCAGAGGCATCTGCCTGAGCGTGCTGTCTGTGCTTAGGGATGTGCTCAAGATCCTCAGGCTTCATCTACCAATCTGGCGACCTTCTCAAAAAAGTAAATGAAGTTGATATGCCATGATTTGTCCTTGATAAACTTCCTAAAATTATTTGCTTCACAATGTAAAATCTCTGGTATCAGAGGATATTTGATAACAGAACTCTGAATCCAGAAAATGGCAGTTTGGAAAGGGATTTTTGTTGTCACCGTTTCTGACAAAATGTAAACTTCCGCCTGAGCCTGGATTAATTTAGAAGTTTCAAAAACTACCATGGAGGGGGCGCCTCGCTGGCTCAGTCGGTAGAAAATGTGACTCTTGATCTCCAGGGTCCTGGCTTCACGCCCTTCATTGGGCATAGAGGATACTTAAAAAAGCCAAAGCAAAACAAAAATCTGCCCTACCGTGGAGCCTGGAATTTTTGGCCTAGTCTTGAAGGAGTAAGCCCTGGCTATAAAAGGGGTAAGAATCCTCGAAGGTCAGTTTGTCAGTATTTGACATTCAGTTTCACAACTAGAGTCCTACATTAAATAGTGTTTAAATTCCGTTTTTCTTTATTATTTTTATGAACATCCGTTAAGAAGCCAATCTGGACTTTCACTCTCCCATAACACTGTAACGTGCTAGTGGCCTCAATTGCCCATTTTTATGTACATTTGGGTGCTAGTTATAGGTCTCTCTATGCTTAGGATTTGTGTACCTTTTTGTATGTGAATACTTCAGTAAAAAGTTTTTTAAAGGAAAAACATTAGTGAAGTCTTCCCTCACTGTGTTTGGAAAATCATGCTAATGGTGTTGGTGTTCCTAACATTCACTCTATTTCTGTCTTTAAGGTTTTTAGCTGATGTACGTTTGGGCATTATTTTCTTCTGAGAAATGTGGAATTGACTGTCCTTAAGGATGTGGAAGATAGTTGCCATTGATATTAAAGAACAAAATTTAGAGAGTTTGAATTTATTTACTTGACTAACATAATACCTTATTTGCACTTGCTTTTTTGGAAAGGAAAAACAATACTAGACCCTTGAATATACTCAGATTGTAGATCTTGCTCAAGTGACCCCTCCCACTCCCACTTCCTGCCCTCCTTCTTCGGGTCTTGGTCTTTCTTCTCTGCTTGGCCCCGTCTTGGGCTCGATCATGTAGTCAACCCTAGTAACTCGATAACTGCCTGTTGTGGTTGCTTTTTTCATTGTGTGTGACCTTCTGTAGTACTTCCACAGACTCCCATGGTGTAGTGTAGACACTTAATAAGTACTTGTCGATTGAATGAAATTGCCTCTCAGGTATGTCGGGATTGTGCTCTGAGGAATTTTAGAACAAAATCATACTGCTTTTCTCGTAGGGCAGAAGACTCTTTAATATAACACATAATTAATGTTTCCCCCCTTTTTGTAAACATTATGTGCAATTTTGAAGACTTGGAAAATGAAAAGGAAAAAGTGTCCACAATCCTACCATCCATAGATGTATTGTGTAATAATTGGTAGTGATAAAGGCATACTTTTAAACCAGATTACGTTTCAACATTGAGGGACTAGTATGTGCTAGACGCAGCTCTGTATCCACTTTCCTATGCATTCTCTTCTGATATGGCCTTTCAAAAGTAATATGAAACAATAAGTTTTAAGAAGTTTTCTTTTTTTTATGTTTCTTGTTCTTGGAAGGGATTGTTTTGAAAATTACCAATTTTTTTTTTCTTTCTATAATTTATTTTATAATTTACATCCAAGTTAGTTAGCATATAGTGCAACAATGATTTCAGGAGTCGATTCCTGAATGCCCCTTACCCATTTAGCCCATCCCCCCTCCCACAACCCCTCCAGTAACCCTCTGTTCTCCATATTTAAGAGTCTCTTCTGTTTTGTCCCCCTCCCTGTTTTTGTATTATTTTTGCTTTTCATCCCTTAGGTTCATCTGTTTTGTATCTTAAAGTCCTCATATGAGTGAAGTCATATGATACTTGTCTTTCTCTAATTTCGCTTAGCATAATACCCTCCAATTCCATCCACGTAGTTGCAAATGGCAAGACTTCATTCTTTTTAATTGCCAAGTAATACTACGTTCTGTGTGTGTGTATATATATATATGTGTGTGTGTATATATATATATATATATATATATATATATATATATACACATATATACACACACACACCACATCTTCTTTATCCATTTATCCGTTGATGGACATTTGGGCTCTTTCCACACTGTGGCTATTGTTGACAGTGCTGCTATAAACATTGGGGTGCATGTGCCCCTTTGAAACAGCATACCTGTATCCCATGGATAAATACCTAGTAGTGCAATTGCTGGGTCGTAGGATAGTTCTGTTTTTGATTTTTTGAGGAACCTCCATTCTGTTTTCCAGAGTGGCTGCATCATCTTGCATTCCCACCAACAGTGCAAAAGAGATCCTCTTTCTCCACATCCTCGCCAACATCTGTTGTTGCCTGAGTTGTTCATGTTAGCCATTCTGAAAGGTGTGAGGTGGTATCTCATTGTGGTTTTGATTTGTATTTCCCTGATAATGAGTGACATTGAGCATTTTTTAATGTGTCAGTTGGCCATCTGGATGTCTTCTTTGGAGAAGTGTCTATTCATGTCTTTTGCCCATTTCCTCACTGTATTATTTGTTTTTTGGGTGTGGGGTTTGGTAAGTTCTCTATAGATTTTGGATACTAACCCTTTATCTGATAGGTCATTTGCAAGCATCTTCTCCCATTCCGTCCATTGCCTTTTAGTTTTGCTGATTGTTTCCTTCGCTGTGCAGAAGCTTTTTATTTCGATGAGGTCCCAATAGTTCATTTTTGCTTTTGTTTCCCTTGCCTCCGGAGACGTGTTGAGTAAGAAGTTGCTGCGGCCGAGGTCAAGAGGTTGTTGCCTGCTTTCTCCTCAAGGATTTTGTTGGCTTCCTGTCTTCCATTTAGGTCTTTCATCCATTTTGAATTTATTTTTGTGTATGGTGTAAGAAAGTGGTCCAGGTGCATTTCCCAGCACCACTTGCTGAAGAGACTGCCTTTATTCCACTGGATATTGTTTCCTGCTTTGTCAAAGATTAGTTGGCCACATGTTTGTGGGTCCATTTCTCAGTTCTCTATTCTGTTCCATTGACCTGAGTGTCTGTTTTTGTGCCAGTAGAAAATTACCAATTTTTACCTGTGCTATAAAAGCTTTGTGAAATTTTTATTACTACAACTTAGCAATGAAAGTTAATATTTGTAAGCCAGTGATATGCAGTGCTTGGTGCTGTGAGGACGACCAGGCTGAATGATTGCTATGCTTAGTGATTTCCTGTACTCAAGGAATTAATGATCCATTGTATAAAGATGGCAGTGAGAAGGACAAGAGAAATAATCATGGTGTGACAAGTTACTTGAGATTGGTCTCATTAGTTTCTTTAGCAATGCAAGGAAACTCTGAGCTCAGTAGTAACACCCTTACCCTACTTACGTTGCTTAGATTGCCTTATCTTGGAAGCTACGGGGCATTGCTCATCCTGAAGATCAGGTGATCCTTGGTATCAGCCATGTCATCGAGGCCTTTTGAAAGTCCACCTCCTTATAGACCTGATGAATTGTAAGTAATTCTTCAGTTGTTTTTTTTTTTTT